CAGTATATATATATATATTTGCGTTTTGGATAGAGATACGTTAATACGTGCCAAATATGTTCATCAAAGATGTGACCAATGAACTGCGAACCAAGCAGCAGCCTTTGGCCCCCGGCCAGAAGGTGGCGCCCTATGTGGCAGCAGTGAAACGCGGCCCGTACACCCTCACGAACCCCGTCTACAGCAGCCCCCAGGTGGAGGAGATTACCGCCAAGATGCACAGCCACACGTTCAATGTGAAAATCACGCCGAAGCCGAACCACAAGTACCATCAGCGTTTGATCCCATCGCCGGTGCCCAAGTCCAAGGCGAATCGCATCAAATCTCGCTCCCATCTGCTCATGAACGAGCAGCGGGAGATGTACAGGCAGCATCGCGATCGCCTGGCGAACATCAAGGGCAAGGTGAACAGCTGTCTGCCGCCGCCAAAGATCAAGCTGAGGGAGGGCAACTGCATGGAGCTGTCCTACATGGAGATGCTCACCGCGCTCTATCGGAAGAGCAACAATACGCTGCGCACCTTCACCAAGTCGCCGGATCGGCTGGCCACCGGCCGTTGGCGCAACACGAGTCTGGCCCGGGAGAAGGAGCGCAATCAGCTGGAGAAGAACAAGGTGCTACACCAGGGCGGCAAGCTGTTCGATCCGCATCTGGGCAAGTCGCGCCGCTCCAAGCCGAAGGTGGCGCAAGCGTTTAGCTACGAGGTACCGATGCATGTGCTCCATCGGTACGAGGACCTGATGAACATCTGTGATGTGGGTGTGCTCTGCAAGCTGCTGCGTCCACAGATCTACATGGACTTGGAAGTGATCGGCACCCGGATCATGGGTCGCCTGGCCATACAGCTCTTCACGGAGGCCTGTCCCCAGGTCGTGCTCGAATTTATGCGTGTCTGCACGCACCAAAGCTCACGCAGCATTTGCTTCACACGCACCTTCTCGCCCATCTGGCTGGAGGGTCACATTGCTCTCGATCCGGAGCGCAGCATCGACATGAGCAACATCGAGCACGACTTCGAGGTGCTCAACCATGGCGTCGACGCGGGCATTCTCTCCTTCCCCAGCCGCTATGTGCGCGGCAATGCGCGCACCGAGCTCAACTTCACCATCAGCTTCAAGCCGCTCTCCATACTGAATGGCAAGCGGGTCGCCTTCGGCAAGGTTCGCAAGGGTTTGCAGCTGCTGGAACGTATTCACGATGCCACCGCGCATCTGGCCAAGAAGCACGAGCTGGTTGTCATCAAAGATTGCGGCGTTCTCTGAACTACGCGCCGCCATGCACAAGGAACAAACAAAAAACAAAAAAATCAAAATAAAAAAAAATATAGGAACTAGTGGTAAATTCTATAATAGAGCTACGGCCTGGGCTTCAGATCCCATACACCGACTCTATTTGTGTTATCTTATTCATATGACTTTATTTTTATGCCAAATATAAAATTAGATGTATAGAGATATATAACTTTTTTTTTTCCTTATATTCAGTTTGCAGTTTTGGGGTTTATTTTCCAAGCTTTTCTGCGGGCAGAACAAGTCTTCAGCTAAGCTGTCTGAAAGCGATTTTAAATATATACTCTTAAGAAAATATCCATATTAGTATAGCCTTTACTTCTGCATTCTCTTTACTTCTTAGGGAGTGGAGTTTTCATAAAATCGAATGGTATTTATATAGAGACCCAAACTCCTCTTCAGGTTGCATTTGCGCTCAATCGATTAGACTTCTTCACAGTGCAAACTTAAATATATTCATTATCAATATTTGTTCTTAATTTTTTATTATATTCCGAAATATTATTTTTATTGTTTTATTATTATATATAATTATATTATTTTTTATGTTTAAAATTTATAGTTTTTATTATTTATTATTTAATAAAACATTCATATAAAACAGTAATAATAATTAAAAATAAAAATAATGAAAATTAATATAAGATAATATTTATATTAATTTTCAATATTTTATTATTATTATTGTTTAATCATTATTATGATTTAAATAATAATAATTATTTTATAATTATTTCTTCAAGCTCAATTGCAATCATTAATTTATTTATTTCTTTATTAAATCAATATTTTACTAATTTAATATTTTTAATATTTTAATTTAATATTTTCAAATCATTATTTTAATAAATTAATATGAAAATAAAATATTTTTAGACCTTAGCTTAACTCAAAAATGTCTGTAAAAAATAAAAACTAATAACATATAAAATATTAAAATATAATTCCTATTAAAAACATATCGAATATCATACAAAAATTAAAAAATCTCTTTATAGTTCTACAATTTTTGTTAGACAAGTTAGCATGGATTTTATTTTCACCTTTCCAACATTGCTCTGCTGACAGAAGAAATTTGTTTAGTCTTTCATTTAATGTCGTTTGCCTAGCTTCGATACATATTTTTATTTTTTGTAAAAAATTGATTTTCTATTTTTTGTACTGGCTACAATTTAATCGTAACCTCTTATCAAAATATGGTGGGCGATGGCTTGAACAGTCCCCGACAGCAGGGCGGCAAAAAGCCGACTTCTGCCGACGATAAGCATCTGCCGGACAAGTACATGATGCGCAATACGCGTGTCCTGAGCATGTGCAAGGCGCAGCTTAAGGCGCTGCCGGAGGAGATCGTGCAGACGGCCTGCGAGGAGCTGGTGAACGTGGTGAACCTGGAGGACAATCTGCTGAGCGATGTGCCAGCCGAGCTGAAGCCAATGAGCGATCTGCTCACCGATCTGGGCCTGGCCAAGAATCAGCTCTGCTACATACCCACATTCATATCGCAGTTCTCGCGCCTGCTCGCCATAAATCTCTCGTGCAACATGATCCGGGACTTGCCCATGGAGTTCGCTGGACTGCAGTCGCTGCGCGAGCTGAACATTTCGCACAATCGCCTGGATCACTTGCCGCCTTGCATTTACGAGCTGGACGCGCTCGAGACGCTCACCGCCAACGACAATCAGATCAAGGAGTTGGACGCCTCAGAGAGTGGCCTGGGCGCTCTGCGCTATCTCAGCTCGTTGGATCTGAGCAACAACAACATACAGATGGTGCCGCCGGTGCTGGGCAATCTGACCAATATAACTGACCTCAAGCTCTCCGGCAATCCCTTTCGCCAGCCGCGCCATCAAATCCTCGCTCAGGGCACCGCTGCCGTCATGGATTACCTGCGTGGACGCATTCCCCTCTAGAAATAGAAATGTTATTTAGTATCTAAGTGATTTTTCATGTATGCAAATAAATTCATATCGTAATTGTATGTGTGGAGGTTTCTTAAGCTCCCACATTTATGAGGGATTTCTTTTAAGGCCTCTCTCCCTCTCTTCGTTTGTGCTTTCTGTTCAGCGCCTTGAGTTGAGCTATTCGTGTGGCGCTCTTTTCACGAAGATCGTTTAATGAGCGACACGACTGACGCTCTCACATTGAGGCTAACTGCAAACGGTCTTCTCTTAACACAGCCTCGCATCCATACCAACAGTGTTGCCAGGTTTTGAGACATAAAAATAGCAAAATCGTCTCTAAAAAATAGCTGAAAATAGCTAAAAAAAATTTTAAAATAGCTTACAAAATAGCTGAAACCTTTATGCATTATGCATTTACTTTAAATTTTATTTTTAAATGTTATTTAATAATGTTACAATTTGGTCCACATCCAAATTATCATCAGAATTATATTTTTGATTAACTGGAATCATTTTTAAATATTTGGAAGGCACGGTATAATCATGGCAGCATTTGCCATTCCTGCGCAATCCATATCTGCAAATAAAACACATAAAATACATGCCTTATGCTTAAGATAGCGTCAAGCGTCTTCAGTTGCATTATGTTTCTTAAATTGGATTTAATTAGGCTAAATATTCGTTCTACTTCTGCGTTGGACCATGGTAAAGATAACAGCTCCAACGCAAACTCAGCCAAATCCTTAAAAACTTTTACGCCACCGGCATCAGTATATTTAAGGACTTCCGCCCAGAACTTGACTGTCTCTGAAGTGTTGTGCCACTCAATGAAATTTATTTTTGCGTATTGCCGCAGAATAGTTTCAATGTTTTTACATTGAAAACATTTGAGGATTGGTAATAACGTACAAACATAATGCCGCCTCCTCCTTTGCACTTTTAGTTGTTGCCAATGGCTCGAAAACAATTTTGTTTTTTTGCCCAAAGGCGCCAACCGTTTTATGTTTTTTTGTCGCGACATGCATTTTTATATCGTGCAATTACGCAAAAACACTGCATTTGCAGTATATACAATACGCCCGCGTGTTGTCCGACTCATCCTCCTTAATCCAATCCTTAAATTCGGTGATTGTTTTCCAGGAATCACGAAATTTCTGCTTATATTTTTTATCCATCACAATTAATGCCAAGAAGCGCGCCAAGAAGAATTAGCGATGGTATAA